CTGACGAAGCGATTAGCCACAGGTGATACGGGTAATTAGGGTTGCCAGAATCAAAAGTGTAAATTACCAAGCATTTCGTTTTTGGAAACAAAATCGAACCGGACAAAACCGGATATAAACAATAATCATAAAATTAGATTAGATACAAAATTTTGTAAGAAATTATAATAATTACAATTGTTTTCCAAACAATTTTGAAAACAGAGTTGGTTAAATAAAATAAAAAATAAACTACTATATATCATTTAATATCAGACATTTTATTTTTAAATATAAAATTATGTTATATAATATTATACCGCGTCTCCTGACATTATATATATATAACATTTAACATTTGTTATACCATGTTTTATTTTATTACAAAATATATTACTACCTTTAACATATGTTATAAACATTTGTTAAAACATTTAATACGTTTAACATATTAAAAAATCTTTCACATTTGTTAAAACAAAACTTTGAACAAAAATAAAAATATTAAGTAAAACAAGTACAACCACGAAAAACAAAATTAGTGATACGAATCTTGTACTTTTTAAATTATAGTTTGAGTTCATTTCGAGTTGTATTTCTCCGTATTTCTTACTGCTTTCAATAAATTAGGTTTAGATTTAGCATAATTTATGAATTCATTACATGACATATCAAAATTAATCACAGTAAATAATTCAGCTTTGATCAATTCCACTTCCATTCTATTTCTTAACTTTGTCCACACTTGTCCCATTAAGCTGAACACTCTTTCTGGGAAAGTATTACTCGTTGGTATTGAGAGTACAGCCTGAACTATTTTTAGTATATTATTGGTAATAAAATTACATTTTTAAAAAATATCTATCCATTGTTGATCAACAGATAGATTTTTATCGATATGAGGAGCAATAGTTTTTAACATTATATATTCTTCATATAACTGATCTCCATCAAATTCTAATTTGAGAACTTCTGCTACTTTTACAATATCTTGAAATAACTCAAGTTTTGAGGAACAAAGATTTGAAAAATATTGGAATGGGCTATCTTTGAGATTATACCACTTCTCAAGATAAAAAATACATGTAGATAAAAAGTTAATAGCATTTTCTTCAAATGAATTTCTTTCAGTTATTGTTAAAGATGGTAATGCTTGATTAACTTTAAATCCAAAAATTTTTCTGTTATTCGACTCTTTAAACTATCTTTAAAGCAACACAGAGTATTATGCAAATCAATAACAGTCATAGTATTACTCTCAAGTTTAGCAATTAAAACATGAAATAAATTCATTATATTATGAATAAAATATAAATAACATTCTAGAAGAGTAAGACATGAAGAAATTTTATTTGATTCATTGCTTCGATCACTTATAAAATCTAAAATTACTTGATGAACATTGTCTTGTTCCAAAAAGTAACTTTTAATCGCTGGCCAACATTTTAGTAATCTATCCACAGCTGGATACAAAGAAAGCCATCTTGTTGGAACATGACGAAGAATGTTTTTGTATTCGATATTTACAAAATCAAAACATTCTTGTAGTTGTTCAACATTATGTGCGCTAACAGAAAATTCATTATAAACACTGTGTTTAGGCCTTTACACATGTGTATATCAAAAGCAAGCTGATACCTAGGTGCACTTGAGTGCACTTTTTGAACGTAGTCGTAGCGGAGCGCCACGAAAATTGGGCGGTCTGTTACATAACTTCTTATGGCGCTCTAAATTTGATTTTATTATTTGGATGTACTTACAAATCGGACATATGACGTCCGGTTTGACTTGTCAACCGGACACCGGACAAGACTCCTGAAAACCTGACAGTCCGGGTCAAAACCGGACGGTTGGCAACCATATGCTTTACAAGCCGGTTGACTGGTTCCGAATAAAATTCCCTTTTGTTTTAATTATCAGGCCTCTTCTTTGGTTTTTGCCGATTGATTTCGCTTTTGAAAAGAAGAAAGAGAAGAGAAAAAAAAAGGTCTCAGTTGCTCTTCGTAGGGTGGTTGCTCGCGGCAATTGCTTTAGTTTATTAATTCTAATTAGTGGGTGAAGGAGGTTCCTTCCTTTAGTTTTCGCGTGTGCGTGTACGTGCTCTTTGTCCTCCTAGATTGCATGGATTTTCCTTTTTGGTGAGATAATTTAGAAGGATTATGTCGCGAGGTTCATGCGCTAGGCGCGTGGTTGCCGTAGCACGAGAGAGAAGGAAAGGGAATAAGTAAGAGCGAGAGCGCCAGAGGATCGAGCTTCGATCAGCTACAGCTCTATAATGTGCACGATTCATAGCTATAGTTACGTCCTGCTTGTCAATTGATTCTTATCAGGCGGACGTTACAGTTGATAATAATAATCAAAGCGCCATTCAAATTTATAATAATAAAAAAGGAAGTATAAATTCAAATAATAAAAAATAAAGGTAACAAAAGCACATTAATTCTACCATATATTATACAAAAGAGAAATAATCTCATATAAATATCGAGACTTTCAGTTGTATTATTACAAAAGTGTGAATCTAAAAAGCAAACATACATGAAAGCCCTGAAAGTAAACAAGGTTAAATCTAGAGGACTTATTTTGATATACAAAATACCATGTTATACTACCAATACTGAAAATGTACGTATAAATATAATATAGAGGAAAGTCGCCGATTCTGACATACCACTTTGTTTTTAGACAATATTTATTAAACAAAAGGTAAAAATAAAATTTTAAAAACGTAATTACAAGATGAAAAGTGCCTTCTATCAGATAGTATAAACAGTTTTTATAATACTATTTGCAATTTTTTAATAATTAATTTTTTCGTAAGGTAAGCATAAATGAGCGTCTGACAAAATGGGCTCCAAAACTGACACAGTAAGCAGTAATGCTACGTATTCATATTCTTTTTATTTTACAAGCATTATCTGTATAAAGTACCTACAAGTGAATGTACATAAGATTTTCCATAACCTTTTCACTTCGTTATAAAATATTTTTATTGAATTATGGGGTAATATCCACCTTAAAAAAATTTTTTTTAAATTTTTTTTTGCTTATATTATGTAAAAACATGTTAAGAATGATGTAGGATATGCTCTATAACTGAAAAAAGTTTGTAAGTGTCCGAAAACGATTAATTTGTGAAGCAACTCCAAACGCGTGAAAATGACAAATTGAGTTTCGGAGCGCGTTTCGCCCCTTTTACTCGTTACCGACGGTACGACGGCATGCTAAATAGTTTCTAAATGAGGTACATATGTCGCTACTTGGTACTTTGAAGCAAGTATTGAACATACGTTGCCGGTGTTGCCAGATTAGCCGTTGAAATAGAAGCGCAAACACGTGTTGCGAGCATTGTGCGGGCAGTTTTCTCGTGCATTCGAGTCGTGTTTTCAATTATTTCGCGAACTTTTGTGTCGAATCATGAGTGATAAAGTGAGTGACGACAACCCGCAGCAAAAAAAAGATGCCCGACCGGACTGACATCGTGGTGCTCTTCGAGCGCCATCTTCAGGGACTATCGATGATTACACACATAATCTACCAATGCATAACGATGTCTTCAACGCCATTAAACCAATTTACGATGAACTCAGTTCAGATGATCTTTTATCTCGCTGCTTGGGAGGATTCACTCAAAATGCAAATGAATCGTTCAATTCCGTTGTGTGGTCGATCGCTCCAAAATCGATTTCAAGCGGAAAAGACATAGTCGACATTGCTACAAATATTGCGGTTGTAACATTCAACGATGGATTACGCAGTATTATGTACATCATGGATGTGCTCGGCATCGTTGGTCAACAATGTTACGAATTTTGTTCACAATCCGACTCGCACCGCATTCAACACGCCGAGCGCTCTATATCCGATGCCGCCAAAACCAGCTGTCGCGCGGCAAAATCAGCTAAAAAAATAGCCGAGCTCAACGAAATCGACGTAGAAGGCCAGCTATATGGTGCTGGGATAGCAGAGTAAAGGTAAAAAAATCAGCAAGCCTATATCTTATAAGTATCACGTAGAAAATACGTTGTCAAACTTTAAACGCGTTTTTCTTGAAATCACTTTTTCAATCACGGCAGGCAGTAGAACTCGAGTAATTTTTATCCGATTGACTTGCGCTTTGGCCTGTAGCTTCTTTGATAGATTCTCTAGAGGAGTACACACGATTGTGAAGATTGATAAAAAATTACATTTTTTATAAACAAATAAAGGTTGATTTTTTAGTCGAAAAATCGGGTTTTTTTTTCATTTTGTTACCAAATTTTCAAAAATCAAAATTTCTTTATATCCATGTGTACTTCTATAGCTATACTCATGTAGATTAAGAAAAACTTTTGCTCATTGTTCCAGATACGATCTTCGGTTACTTCTACTGCCTGCCGCGGAGCGCCTCAAAAAAATTGGTCATCAGTTCGCGCACTGCTGCGCCGCCATTTTGTACTGCCGATTGAAATAAAAAATTTTTTTGTGTACCTTAAGACATGTGTAATAACCCCTGAAAACTTCATCTTGATCGATTCGTTAGCAAAGTCACAAAAAATTCACAAAAAACCCGTTAATTTTTGACGATAAGGTGGATATTACCCCTTATGCTTACTTATGTACCTCTTATATGAAAGATTATAATTATTATATAGTACGCTATTAGAAATGTAACCACGATCTTTTTTTACATGTAAATAAAGCTTGTAGTTATGAACGAATTTAAAAGTAATGAATGATTTAACTGAAAATTAAGTTATAGTAATTACTTAAATGTAATGAACGTGTACATTAAATTTATGAAATTTAATGTATCAAATGATTTTAAATTAAAAATCGTATTATGAAAAAATTAAGAGAAGAAATAATATAAATAAAACTTATTTCGAAACTACAAGTATTTAAAATGACGTAATATTATCAATAATATAGTTACTATTATTTAAACCACACAATTTGCAAAAAAAAATCGTAAGAATTTTATTTTTGCATTCGTAGAATTCGTCTTTAGTTGATTTGATATAGAAACAAGCCACAGACATACGAATTATGAGTTTGTGCTTCTTTAATTAGCTAAACAGATCATGATTTTATTAGTATTAATAAAGTGCAATAGTTAGTTTCTGAGAAATAAGGGGGTGTCACACTTTAGGAGACCTATGTCAGTATCAGCGACTTTCCTCTACATAATGTGAATATAGATGTTTAGCATTACCAGTGTATATATATCGGGGAACACAGTCTTCGTCTCACATAGAAAAACCAAAAGATGTGACGAAATCTGCACTGAATTAGACCAATATTACATGCGTCCGTTCTTTTGTCGTACGACAAATTTTTTAAGCCTGTTGATTGGCTATAGGAAAAAGAAGTCCGAGATCCTCTTTGTCTTGCAGCAATCAATAAGCTTGAAAAGTTTATCGTACGACAAAAAACGAATAAATTTAATAATATTAGCCTTAGGGCTATTGCAGAGAACGAGATGTAACGAGACGTAACGAAACGTAGTCGTGACTGGTCGGAAAAGTGCTTTGATCTCGGAGACCAGATACGACTGTGACTTCTACGTTTTTCTCTGTCATAGTCAACGTCACGACTACGTCTCGTTACGTCTCGTTACATCTCGATCTCTGCCACAACCCTTAGAATCTATAGATTCCGTAACTTTTAAATAGTTGACTCTTTCGTTATCGTTGTACGTATTGTCGTTGCGCAACTTTTTTATATTATACCAGCATATGTAATGATAACGACATTGTTAAGACTTAAACGAGTATAATTAAAAAAAAATATCGCCAAAAATAAATCAGATATCTCATGGGAAACTCTGAACGGGATTAATTAATATCAAACATATGTTATATAAAAGTCGATTGAACGTCCTAGGAGTAATAGCAAATTCGCTACTAATCTGAGAAAATGAGAAATATGGAAGCCATCAAAGAGACATAGAATGAAACTGTACTTACCGATCTCGTAACCAAGTGCCACGCAGCAGATGCCTCACGTACAGTGAGTACGCATAATTCTCTCTGACAGAATTATTACAATAATTCCAGTCTTCGTAGTGAGAAATTAATTCACAAGACAAACGGAAGCAGGCACACGCACAATAGCAACGTAAAAAAGCGGTAAAACGTACGTCCAGACAAATGCCGACGATAGAACCCGATAGAACCCGATGGAACACGATGGAAGCATTAAATCCGGATCCTCATACGGGCAACAGCGCTCTGACACCGTTTTTTGGTGGAAAGGCGGTTGTGGGAGTAAGGCCCTGCACACAATAGAAGGAATAAGGAATTAAGAATAACCGATCTCAACTTATCAGAAACTGTGTATTCGGATATGTCCGATTTCTAATAGGTTAAAATCGTTTGTTCTTCATTTCTAATTCCTTATTCTTTCTATTGTACGTAGGACCTTAAACTTACTCCCATCATTCGTTTTTCATCAATCATCAGTGTTCGGTGTCAAAGCGCTATTGTCCGTATGAGGATCGCGTCGCATGCCCCAATAACATGCTCGTATATATATATATATATGTGTATATATATATATATATATATATCTTAAAAATATTATATATTTACAAAATCCAAATACACATACATGTAAAAAATTATACAAATTTTACTTAAGACATCTTTTCATATATCTTATTGTTCCGACGACAATTACTTTCGCATATGAGCATGGATAGCGTATATACGGAAGCGTTAATAATTAATTCTCGAAAATGATATATCGTATTGTAACTTTATTACACAATTAATAATTGATTCTCGAAAATGATGTATCATAACTTTATTAAACATGGTTGAATTTGTAACAAAATAGTCTTTAATTCGGTAAATAAAAAAATTAAAAATTAAAGAAAATTACGGGTGGTGGGGGTATTTCGTTAAACAAAAAAATTAAAAAATTTTTTTTTTCTTTATAACTTCAAAGTACTCTTGAAATCGTACAACTTTCATTTAAACAATTTCTTTCTATCTTTTATATTTTTGACGATATTTGCCTCGAAAGAAAAATTCCATTTTTCTTCAAAGGGGTGTTTCACCCCTTAAACATGAGTTAGCGCACTTATAAAAAAATACGTTCTTCTTAGATTTTCGTGTTTTACAATATATTTCATGGAGAGTCAAATCGGTTCCGGACAGTTCTGAAACTTCCTTGTAAGTTTATGATGGAATTTTTGATACATATGGTTTAATTTTTTATGGTTTTCTAATATTACATGCAGATTATTACAAAAAAACTACCAGATTACGAATTTCGGATGTGGCTCTCGAGTTGTGAGTGCAGAGTTTAGTTTTTATTGGATGTTACCATCTTTGAAGCAGTACACACCATGTTGTTAGGATGTATACCGCCGAATTGCATACATGTATCGTAACTAGCAGACAAATTTTTTAATATTAGTGTTGTATTACAGTCCGTACATATTCGAAATTTTTAACGATTTGTAAATGACCTCGTGATATGTCGAAGGATGTAGTTTTGTTTATAATATTTTACGTTGGGGGACTAATAATTTATTTCTGCTCGTTTGTTTTATGTATATGTTATAATTTTATTATTTGAGCCGATCATTGTAATTTAATTTCAATTTTATTATATGCAAATTCCAATCACGCAAGTTATTACATAACCGTTGTACATCAGCGTCTTTTATTTTTATAAATAGACTGCGGATTTTTATGCAGAAACATTTTTTTGGATTCAGGTAATAATAACAAAAAATCTGTACTAATCCAACGATTTTAAATTGTTTCATGGATGCATATCGAGATATGCAAGATATATGCACAAAAAATATGCATTATTTATGCAGCATATATGCGCAATATGCATTATTTATGCAACATATATGCGCAATATGCATTATTTATACAGCATATATGCGCAACCCTTATGGAAAGACATTGAAAATTTCGAAAAAACACTGAATTTTCAGTGTTTTTTTGAAATTTTCAGTGTCATTTTCCATAAGGGAATATGTATAATAAATACAGATAATATGCACCTTATTTACAAAATTCTATGCGTAATTAATGATTAGTAATCACGCGAACATGAAGCAATACACATAAATTATGTAACATAATACTATTGATTGTAATTTAAATGACAATAAATAACAAGAGTTTTTTGAAGATTAGCCGGAGTGAAATTATGCCTTTTTTCTGATAGAATTAGTTTATAAGTAAATAATGATCTTTCAACATCACAGGACGTAACGGGAGCATATTTATATTTGCTTCATAAAGAAGATAAAATCTCTTTAAGAATTTCAGAATTAGGTATATGTTTTAATATGTCACTAACTCTAAATAGTTCCTCCACTCTAGGATTTCTATTTAGAATCTGCTGCATTTTTTTACAACTATTTGTCCACAAGATCCTGGAATTGTTTTGAAATCTTCAATACACGATCTTGCTTCAATTGATTCAATTAAAAGTAATCCTATTGATTCCAGTTTTGTCATTACTATTGGAAGATTTGTGAAGTATGTTTGAATATAACATAAATCTCTGATAAGCTGTGGATTTTGGAGCACAGTCTTCGCTGAAGCAATCGACGTAGCATCTTCTGAATTGAAAGACTCAATAACTTGTGATCAAATCAAAACTTTATTTTATCAAGTTCAATTTTATTTTTAATTATTTAATAAAAAAAATAAATAAATGCATACCTCTTGAATACTAGTTAAATTATTTGCATAAAAAAGTGCAACTTCAATGCAGGTTCCCCATCTTGTCAAAATTGGTTCAGGTCAGTGATGCACATTTGGCTCCTCGGCAACACGGAAAACCGCCCCACCATTTCGCCGCTGCGCGAGAGCGAGCGAGACAG